TGAACTAAGAGATCCCAGGAGTAAAGCCCACAAAGCAAACTGCAAAACTGTGTTCAGCTGCAGCAGCTCAACATGGCCACAGCAGCCACTGTGGACCGCTATATTTGGGGAATTATACAACAAACATCCATTGACTGGAGCTTTTCTTATCACGTGACTTTAGCACTTCCTGTTTCAAATCACAAAATTAGTTGCTCTGTGTAATATGTGCTAACTGTCCCAGGTATCTGGTGTACTGTTTGGCTAACATTAGTAGAAGTCGTGTATAGCTAACAAGCTATGATCATAACCAATTCTGATTGTGAAAGGTGGATGTGTAGTCCATATGTTCTAGTGTCTGCACTCTAGTTCCCACACAAGTACACTCTATGCTTCAGTAGCTTGTAGGACCACCTTTAGCACCAATAACTTGCAGTAATCATAATCGGTATGACTTTATCAGATCCTCACATTACTGTGCAGGAATTTCTGCTAGTTCTTCACACTTTATTTACACTGTTGCTTCAGTTTATTGAGGTTTGTTCTCTTAAGTTTGTCATACACATATTCAAAAATGTAAGTCTTTTGTTTTTCAGCTATTCTGTTGTAGATTTGCTGGTTTGCTCGAGGTCGTTATTGTGTATGACATTGATTTCAGCCAAGCTGTAGTTGCTGGACAGATAGCCTCACATTTGTCTCATGTGAATACAACTAAACACTCTGGCATAGAGAAGAGTTTATGGCCATCTTAATCAGCGGTCCCCAACCCCCAGGCCATGGACTGGCGGCGGTCCGTGAGTCGTTTGGTACCAGGCCGCAAGAGTTGAGGCTCGGGTGTGAAATTTATGGTTTCCCGGGGTCTTTTCCCGAGTTATAGTTGGGTGTTTTACAGTCATGTGAGAAAATTAGGACACCCCATTAAATAATTGGCTCTTTACTAAGAAATGTTCACATATCAATGTCTAATCATGTTTTCATGTGTTACTGGAAAAGAAAGTGACTTAATTGCAATTAAACAACAAAAATAAAAAAAAATTACACATCAAAAAAAAAAAGAAGATATGAACAAAAATGTGTATTTTAATGGAGGAAAAAGTTAGGACACCCCACCCCCTAATAACTAGTGTTGCCCCCTTTGGCTGATATAACTTCAGTGAGACACCTTTTGTAGCCTTTTAGTCTCTGACATCAGAAGCAAGTTTGGGCCACTCCTCAATGCAGAATTCCTTCAGCTGTGAGAAGTTTGAGGGTTTTCTTCCATGTACAGTCTGTTTCAAGTCACCCCACAGCATCTCAATGGGGTTAAGATCAGGGCTTTGACTTGGCCATTCCAGGACTCTCTACTTAGTTTTTAGCCAGTTCTTGGTGGATTTGCTGGTATACTTTGGGTCATTGTCATGTTGCAGTGTCCAGTTCCGCTTCAGCTTTAATTTTTTAACAGATGGTTTCACATGTTCTTCAAGCACCCCCCAATACACAGTTGGATTCCTGATGGATTCTATGATGGTGAGCTGCAGGTGCTGCTGCAGCAAAGCATCCCCAAACTAGGATACTGCCACCTCCATGCTTCACAGTTGGTATAAGGTTCTTTGCTTGGAAGGCTGTATTTGGTTATGCCAAACATGTCTACTGTTCTGGTGCCCAAATAATTCAGTTTTAGATTCATCCGTCCAAACAACATTATTCCAGAAGTCGTGGTCTTGGTTTACGTTCGCTCTGGCAAACTTCAGTCTGGCCTTAATGTTTCTCTTAGAGAGCAAAGGTTTCCTCCTTGCACAACTCCCATGAAAGTTAAACTTGTGTAGTCTCTTTCTGATAGTAGAGTCATGCACTTTCACATCGGCAGTAGCCAGAGCCTGCTGTAGTTCCTGTGATGACATTTTAGGATTTTTGATGGCTTCTTTGAGCATCTTGCGGTCTGCTCTGGGGGTGAATATGCTTGGACGGCCAGACCTGGGCGTGGTGGCAGTTGTTTTGAATGTCCTCCACTTGTAAACAATTTTCCAGATGGTGAAATGGTTGATGTCAAATTCTTTTGAGATGTTTTTGAATCCCTTACCAGACTCATAAGCGGCCACAATCTTCTTTCTGAGGGCATCACACAGCTCTTTAGATCTCACCATGGCGCTCAATTCAACACGTCAACAGTCAGGAGCACACTAAACTAAATCTGAGGTTTAAATAGGGCAAGGTTCCCTTAAAATGCTGGGTAACAATGTACTGATCATGTGCACCTGACATGATACACCTGTGTGTGATTTTGACAATTTTAAGTGCGATAACATGTGGGGGTGTCCTAATTTATTCCTCACCAGAAATCGCATTCTTTTTAAATTACATTTCACATAAAGTTTTAAAAAGGCGTTTTCTTATTTTTTAATTGTTTAGTTATATTATTTGGATGCCTCCGTATTATTAAAATGTATATTAAATATCCATATGTCCAAATGTATTTTAAAATTTACAGGCTTTCATAGGGTGTCCTAATTTTCTCACATGACTGTTTTTCCAAAGAAATATTTACACGTTACCATAGCGACCAGAGAGCATTAAGGGGCAGAGAAGAGGATGTTCCTCTCAATGTTTTTGGCGCATTTCAGGAGGACGCTGCTAACAAAGTTACACAATTACACACCGTTTATTATTATATTTGCAAAATACCACAGTTTTTGACTTGGTCGTATCATTTTATTTTGTTGTATTTATCCGTGACACCTTAAAGGCCGTTCTGTGAAAATATTGTCTGACATTAAACTGGTTGGAGACCGCTGATCTTAATGACTGCAAGGTGCCCAAGTCCCATTGCTAAAGTAAACACAAATCATTACCCCTCCACCGCCGTGCTTGACAGTTGCTGATGATGAACTAATTGAGTAGATTTGATTATCAGCATCTGGCTAGCAAGTATAAAGTAGCATCAAATAGAAATAATCTAGTATTTCTAAAATACTTGATCTATAAGAAAAGATGGCAGCATTTTCTAAATGAAAACAGATTAGTGATAAAACAGCAGGTTCCAATATTGTTTAAGGACAGTTTATGTTTATGAAACACCTTCTGTTAGTCAGGTAAATGCTTTTAAACAGGAAATAATCATCTATTTTTTTTCTTGTGTGTAGGAATAAAGCTGTCATCACTCACATACAGTACTATATAAAAACTATGCCTTATAATGCAAAGCACGACTGCACTCTTTATATAATCTCTTCTCTGTTTCTGATGTCCTTTCACCGAGTGTAAATATGGCAGTTCTGGCATTTTGTTTGGTCGCTTCATTATGAGTTATCTTCCCCATTAGCCATTTTGCTCAGCTGCAAAGTCTCCCTACCTGCCATCCAGCATTGTGCTAAGACAAAAAGTCAGTGCTGTGTATGCAAATATGACATTCAGCCATCTAGACTTCTATCCACTAATCTGATACATCAGCCTTGCAATCGAGCTCCTGGGGGAGCACAAAAACATAATATATGCTCATGCACTGGAGGCAGTTAGGAGTCAAAACTCGTCAGGGCTGTCTCGTGATACTGGTGAAAAGCTTGGTGAGTTTGCGTGCACCAGCGCGCGCCGTACAGGTAGCAAATGCCCACAAAGTAGATAAAAGAGCACTAAAAACAAACAGGCCACTGAGACACGGAGCTGAACCGGTTGAGTGTGTGATAGTATGCTTAGTTAGCTGAAGAGAACAGCGCGCATATGGCTCGTTGATTATTGAAAAGTCTCTTGCGAACAAAGCGGTGCTGTTTCCATGGAGCTTATTGTGGAGGAGAGAGCATGCTTTGGCACTGCTGGGGGAGGTCCTAACAAAAACATGTAATGCTGTTAAGCATACTGTAATGAGTAATGCAATGTAATGCATGTTATAGCTGTTAGAGGAGCCTTGGAAACTCAAGTTTGTGAAGCCTACGCAGCATGCTGGCAAGAGTTTAAATTAGCGATTAAAGTGAAGTCACTGCGAGAATGTAAGATATTTCCTCGTGCACTTTGCAGAGACGTTGCTACTACTTTATACTTGATGAAGCATATAAATTCTTCATAAAGAATTCAGGCTTTGCTTTGTTTTGGTTTGTTGTAGATGCAATTTTAAATGGATAAAACCTGTAAATCAGTCTTTGTCTAAAATCCCACAATTACAAAGTGATTTTAGACATTCAGACCCTTTGTTGTGCCACTCAATATTATCCTCTAGATGAGTCTCGAAAGGCTTGGACACATTTTAGAAACCCTTATATATGCTGTTCCTGCATTCAGACTGCATGGCAGGAAAAATAAAAAGTCCTGAAACTTCTGTAAATGCCCACTATAAAGTTATCAAGACATAAACTGGGGCAAAGATGTAAAAACACTTGTAAAGCTCTGGGTGTTGAGTAGTTCCAAGGAGGTTTCAATAACTGTGAAACTAGGTGTGGAAAAGAAGTTGTGAAGTAGTTACTGTGGTTCTTGACTCAAAGTTTCCCATTCGGTGAAATTGTGTAACCAGGAGTCTCAGAAGAAGGAATTTTGAACACTTGTTTGTCTTTTTTGCATTCCTACTTTTCACTCGAGTACACTCAAGAAAGTGAAATTGGACAGTTGCTACATTTACATTTATTCTGCTTTCAAAATAATTTTATGTTTCTATGGTGAATGTAATTAAATTATGTACACTCTGCATGACATTCAACATCTTAACACTAGTTAAATTTATTCTAGTGAGATCATGTGATGCAATCTAGTAGGAGTTGTTAGGTGCCTGGACTCATGAGATCATGTGACATTTCAAACCACAGGAGAATCAAACATACACACACCAGGTGTATGCTATTGCTCTTTATTGTGGCCTAACCTGTCAAGGACCAAACATGAAGAAAATTCTGTATAAAACCCTGTAATCATAGCTTTCCTACTGTTTTTTACGTATGGAGTGACAGCTTGGTGGTGTGGTGGATAGCACCACCTAGTCCTGAGTTCAAATCCACAAACTGGCCACGGCCTTCTGGGTGGAGTTTGCATGTTATCCCTGTATTCGTGTCTCTCTGGGTACATGCAGTTAGTGAGGTTAGGTTAATGATTCTAAACTGCCCATAGATGTGAGTGTTAATAGTTGTACTATATATAGTTTCTCCCTAGAATAGACTGGTGACCAGTCCAGGTTGTGCCCCACCTCCTGCACCCCGCGACCCTGATAAAGTGGAAAAGTGGAAAAGGGTGGATGGAGTGAGAGCTGTGTCCCAAATCCATTAAACTGGATTTATTGCATCAAATACCTTTGTTGGACGAATGTATTTTGCATGGGTTGAATCAATTAAATTAAATTAAGTTGGACTCCACTGCATTAAATACGTTTATTCATCATTAATTAATTTAGCTGATCCAACTCAATTAAGTTGGAATAACAGAATTACATAATGCTAAAATGAAGCAATTTAATCACGTGGAAATTCTTTCCATGATTTTTTTTATGTTCATCCAAATAGTTGAAGTGTACTTATTGCACCACTGTTTTAAATGTGCTGCAGCCTCCATGAACTCAGCTCTGCAGCTGCATTTAAAAGCAAACTAACATCGACTTTGATTTATGATAAAACTTTGAATAATTCAAGTCTCGCTCGAACCGTTCGGTTTAATCACCTGGATTTAGAGAGATGATTTCACAGGCTGATTGTCATTTTACATTCAGCAATCAGTGGGTCAAACTCCTGCAAAGGTAAAAATTCAACTTTCAAGATGAAACAGAAGTTTTCTCTAAGTCGGTGTAATGATCAGCAAAAAAGCTAAAGTTGAAGGCACGTGCCTGGTTAAAAACAGGCCTCGCAGATAACCAACTAACTAGTGACAGCAAGTGTTATCTGGCCGTGTCAGGTGCTGAAAGATTTCAAAGCTGTAAGCGTGTGCACATGCGGTGCTCAGGAAATGTCTGTGTGCTTTAAAGATACAGCAGAAGATAAAGCTTTTACCTCACGAAGAGTTCAAGTTGGGAGTAGAGGAAGCGTAGCAAGGCTCGTCGGGCTGTGACTTCAGCGTGACAGTCATTGACTACTTGTCCCTGATCACTCAGATACTCTCCGTTGATGCACTTGGTGCCAGTAGATAACGCCACCACCTGGGCGTGTCTCAGGTCCAGACCTGTTGAACAAATACAGACAAATGCTCACATTATTGCGGTTGTCATACGTTCCATTGACTACATTGATTCCTCAATCAATAAGCTTAATAGTAACCCTTAATATCAACAGCATGTCCTTTCTCACCTTTCGATCCGTAGGAGGCATTTTATCATTATTAAGAAAAAATGGTCGAACATGCACATCTCTGCTTTGATCTGACAAAGCAAAAGAGTGCCCTGCATGGTTTCCTTTAATCGCCCAATGATTATCAATTAAAAAAACAAAAAAAGAATAAAATAAATCCTATT